TAATAGAAATCTCATGATAATAATAACGACTAAACGTCTAATGCTTTTGAATCCGGACTCGTATTCATCGAAATTCCCGCAAATCCAGAAATACGTGTTTTTGCACCACTTTTCCAATAGCGATATGGCGCGAGCAGGGTCACTCCAGTTGCTCGGGTTAATGTGAAATATTTTAGTAAGTAATTGTAGTGAATATTGTACTATCTTATTTCTATTACGCGAACTCCGAAAGTAATTATTTACGAGCATGGTTGTTTCCGGTTTACTATGTTACACAAAATACATCGAAATATACACACAATAATATTATTTATATAGCTTAGACTTTAGCAAAATATGAATTTATTGTTTAATTATAATTATGATATCATATAAGTTACTACAAAATAATGATGTCAATCATTATATCAAAATGTTTATCATGAATTATTAATGATATACAATATTCAAAATCAATAAAAGTCATTTTAATGAGAGTTTTAATTATTGATTTATTTTACTAAGTATTCAGTATTTTGTAACTGGAACAGTTTATATTTTTATTAAGTTTTAGAAATAACTATGGATATATGAGCTACTAAAACTAATAATAATAAAATAATTTATATTCTTGAATTTCGAAATAAAAATATCGTTACTTTAAAGGCATTATAAATTCATTCTCAATACTAAACAGATCGATAAAAATAATACAATAATGTTGTTAGCAATATACAGATAGATATTAGGCTTAATGTCTAAAAATTATTATTAATTAATAATTATTTATAAACTGATCCAGAACACTGTTCCGGTGGTTGTGTGGACTCACAGGTCGTGTCAAATGTCCCGCGGGATAGGGGAGTGCCTCACGAACCCTATTTCTTTAGCTGTATCCGTGACGGCGGAGTACTGGCGCCCGACTATCACGACTGCGCCCCCACTCAGGCCTGTTGTATACGACACTTCTTCACCCAATTCACCACTAAATAGACCACTCAGTCATCGCTTCCATTCACTCCCTCACCACCGACTGTCCACTCAATTAGTTCCCTATCTTTAGCTTATCTTTAAATTTATTTATATATTAATAGACTATTAATAATAGTTATTATAAATTATTTCTGCATTTCATGTGTCTTTCAAACGAATGGTTTATCGAAAAGAAAAGTTTTTTAATTAAATATTTATTTTGTATTTATTTATGCATTCAATTGAATATTAAAATGAAGGTTTGAATCAATAGTAGTGCACAACAGAACTGTATGACATTATTTTGAAATCAAGTTTAATGTCCATATATTATCTTAGTAGATAACAGGGTAACATGCTGATTATTGATATTAAAAATCAATTCATGCTGCACCCATCTACCAAACTACTGACTTATTCAATGTGCTCCAAATGAATAAAACTTTTAATAAGCTAAATGTATAATGATGAATAAAAAAAATTAATGAGTGATTTCTATAATTATATTTATGAAATAATAATATAATGCATAATAGTGATATGCACTGTGTGCAGTAAAATTTTAATAAAATGCAGTATACTGGAGATTATATACCACACAACATTTGATAAGTTACAGTAACATGTACTTTTATATAAATTCAAGATAATGATACATTATTTGATAATGCACACTAGCACTTTTAAAGTTTTACTAACATTTTCGGTGCATTCTAGTTTAATATGATATTATTTTATCGCTTTTAATGTGTTAGAATATAATAAAAAACTATAAAAAGGTTTACATTTAATGCGAACCATAAAACTTTTATCAAATATATAACATAAACCAAAAAAAATACTTCAACTTAAACCTTAGTTTTAAATAATGGCAAACAAAAAATTAACCGTACTATTTGTCCCTGATCAGTTTGTGGGCCCTATAAACGCCAGTATAGGTATGGCTGAGGTATTGCGAGATACCGGTCGATACCACTGTGTGTTTGCGGTGACCAACGATTGGAAGTCACGGCTCGAGTCCATTGGGTTTGAGGTGAAACACATGGGACACCCCGTGGCCGAGGATGTAGTGGCGACTGACCCGCTTGAGAGTAATGTGTCTGATTTCGAGGAATCGGGTCTTATGGAAAACACCACTCAATTGGAAAAGACTATTCGTGTTAACGATTGGATTGTAAACTATGGTCTCAAAGAGATGACAGAAACGGATCCATTGGTTAAGGCTATTATAGAGCACCTGAAACCTGATGTCATAATTAGTGACCGGGTTGTTCATTTACCCTCTATTATCACATCAGGCATACCCTGGATATTAAGTTGGAGTTGTAATCCCTTGTCATTAAACTGCGGATACCCGGATGACATACTTCCACCACCATTTTTAGGTATCTATAGTTATTTTAAATAACTTATTTATAATAATATAAAATTTTAATAAAATTACTCAAAATAATATTTTATTTGTAAATATTTTGTCGTTTATAAGGATTGCCGACAAATAGTGGGACAGAAGTGAAGGAGAAATACAGACATCAAGTGTGGGAACGAAGTCGTGAAATGTGGTATAAATATAGGGATCAATTGGTTTCCATGGGATGTCCAAAACTTCAGGAATTCCTATTATGGAGCCCATCCCCCTTTGCTAACATATATATATGACACCTAAGGAACTGGATTATACAGATGTCAGACCACTTCCCGACAATTTCCATGGATTTGATAATTTTAAACGAACCGAAAATGAAGACACGTTTGAAATCCCGGAAAGCCTTAAGAATAGGTCCGAAAAATTGATTTACTTGTCGTTGGGTTCAATGGGTTCCGGAAATGTAGAGCTCATGAAGAGATTGGTTGCGATTTTGTCCATGCGGATACCCGGATGACGTACTTCCACCACCATTTTTAGGTATCTATAGTTATTTTAAATAACTTATTTTTAATAATATAAAATTTTAATAAAATTACTCAAAATAATATTTTATTTGTAAATATTTTGTCGTTTATAAGGATTGCCAACAAATAGTGGGACAGAAGTGAAGGAGAAATACAGACATCAAGTGTGGGAACGAAGTCGTGAAATGTGGTATAAATATCGGGATCAATTGGTTTCCATGGGATGTCCAAAACTTCAGGAATTCCTATTATGGAGCCCATCCCCATATGCTAACATTTATATGACACCTAAGGAACTGGATTATACAGATGTCAGACCACTTCCCGACAATTTCCATGGATTTGATAATTTTAAACGAACCGGAAATGAAGACACGTTTGAAATCCCGGAAAGCCTTAAGAATAGGTCCGAAAAATTGATTTACTTGTCGTTGGGTTCAATGGGTTCCGGAAATGTAGAGCTCATGAAGAGATTGGTTGCGATTTTGTCC